TCCACCCCCTGCCCACGAGTACTTCTGCTTGCCTCTCATTGCTCAAAATCCAACACATGTTCCTCCCTAGCTGCAAGGGAAGCCGGGCATTTGAGGCTATTTTTTTCCAGCCTCTCTAGAGGAAAGCAAGGGGAAAGAGTGTGGAACAGAGGTCCAGCGAGTCAACCTTTAGTGTTTGTCACATCCAAGGTCAAGAAAATTATAGTTCTGAAGCCAGGGAAAAGGCCATCGGGCCCTAGACAGGATTCTGAAGGAATGACTGAGGTGATTAAGTGTCTGTTGATAATGAGGCCCCTATCCTCGAGCTTTAAGACATGACAGTGATGATTCTCCAGAATCAGACAAATTATTTAGTATAAAAACCTGTGGTTTAGTGATTCCTCTTCTCTCCTCATAGGGTGAGGAGTAGGAGTCAGGACTGATTTCCCCAGAGTTGGTGAGAGAGGTAGGCATGGATGTGCTGGATGTGAATATAATCAACTACTAGCATCGCTTAAGAAGGGTGCTCCTTCTCAGTCTCAGACTTCTCCTGGATGTTGGTCTCCACTCTAGGAAAGTATTTAGTAGATGGAGGGTAGAAACTGCTGGAGACTGAACATATAGCTGGTGAGAGGGATAAATTTCACTTCCTACTCTTATTGAAGTGCGGGCGAGAACAAAGGGTCACCCTCCCAATAAATGAAAGTATGTTCTGTTAAGGAGAAAACACGCAGGGACTGTTTTCACCCTCTGGAAATTGTGGTTAGAAAATTCAAGGAGAAGTCCAAGGTATGAAACAGAACTGGGAGGGAGGAGGACCACGCTCTGCTCAGATGTCTGGAGAGTCCCTGGCAGAGCTCTGGGCCAGTGCTGGTCCTTGCTCTTGGTCCCAGTTGGCTTCCCTGTGGGTAAGGGACCTGCCTGGGAATTCCCCATCATTCAAGGGTTCTTTGAGTGACCCCCTCTTCTGTCCCTCCAGGAGGGAGTTTCCCAGAGTGTTCCCACACCCCCATGAAGCCTCCTTAGCTACCCCAGAGTTGTTTGTGCTTATGATGGGGTGGCATCAAGTGACCCCCAGGTGAGGGAGATTGTGAATACTATCATCTGGATTTGCATGAGGTAGGAAAAGAGGGAAAAGGAAATTGGAAAGTCAACAAGTTGGAAGCCTCACAGGACATAATTACCAAATAGCGTAAGATTGAAACAGGCTTCAAAAGCGAGAGTGGTTGGTGGGCACAGCTTCTGAAGTCAGACCGCCCCAATTTAAGTGCCAGGACCGCAGGTTACAAGCTGCGTGATCTTGAGCAAATGGCTTAACTTCTCTGTACCTCAGATTTTCCTCTTCTGCAAAACGTGAATATTAGTATTATCTATCACATAGCATAGCTACAAAGATTAAACATAACGATAACTATAAAATGCTTAAAAGAATGATAGCATAGTAGAATAGTAGCATTTAATAAATGTTACTTGTTAAGTTGAACTAGACTATTCTCTCAAAAATTTGGTTCCTACTAATCTTTTTATATAACTTAGAGTATACATCTTCCTGTCCCCAACACATACACATGCGTGCACACACACACACTCCCTCCAGCAGTTGGGGTTAGCAGGTTTGGTTTGCTAATGTACTCTGGTAGCTCAATTGAATCTGAAGTATTGGAGAGTTGGAGAGGGCTTAGAGATCTTCTGATCTTGCAGCTTTCCACATTCACTGCACACAACCACTCGGTGTGCAGGCTGCTCCCCTAACTGATAAATCAGAACTAGGCTCCATCTTGTTAGATCTCATGTGTGAGCATGGTTGAAACACTGTCTTTGTGAGATAAGCTGGACCCACGGTGCACCTGGAAGAAGGCCTGGCCTTGAGTTAGCCCCTCACAGAGCAGTCAGACAGGAGGCGCCCTCACCCTGTCCCCTCCCCACTCCCACCTCAAAAATAGGAGGCATATGTTGGGTCCTGTGACAGGCACAGTGTACTGGCTTGGGGGTTTTGTGTTACATTGCGTCTGACCTTCCCCCCTCAACTCCCCCCAAGACCCCATTTTCTCTGAGGAGCCTGGAGGGCAGTGGAGGGCTTCTCATTGGCTCCAGAGACCTTTGGTCACTCGAGTGGCTGGTCTCTCAGGGAAAGTAGCTGCGTAAGCTAGAAGCTGCAGGGCTGAGAAGGGGGCAGGCTCCAGGGGAGGCCTGTTTTGCCCCTATACACTATGGTGCTTTGGAGCAATGAACTCAGAGTTTCTGGACCTCTGAGCAAATCGGTGTCTCAAGGCGAATTCCAAAGCCCTTTCTCCCAGCCGCTGCTGGCCCCTCCTCCCTCCCATCGTCATTTTGGGAGATGGAGCTTGTCCTAGGTCCGTATTGGTGAAGTGGGAGTAATGATAACAGCTGGCCCCCATGTCTGACTGCGAGGGCTACTGTGGGGTACTTGAAGCACTTTAAGGCATTCCAAAAAGTAGAAAGCTGGCTGTGTGGAAACCCAAATGCAGACCTACCCCCTCCACCATAGCAGAAGCCATGCATGTCAGAAGCCAAAATTTCCTTCCTGAATGTTCCTCTGCCCCTCACTGAGTTCTAGACTTGGCAAGGAAGTCAGGGAATGTGCCCATTTGCCCATTTTTACACTTGGGCAAAACTTTCACATTTTACCCTGTGCTCTGGTGGCCACTCTCTTGTGTAAGCCCTTTTCAAGGCAGGATGTCCCCAGGAGGGTTGGGGTGGAACGGGCAGTGGCAGGTGGGGACTGGAGGGATGAGGCCCCAGCAGCCACTTCCTCTGCAAGGGAAGTCAAACTCTTCCTCTTCTAAGTGGCTGGCTGGCTGGCTGCAGGGTCTTTGGTTTCTCTGGGGCCCTAGCAGGAAGCAGTCTTGCTTCCCCAGGTAAAGATGTGTCTCGTCACAGGTGGTTGCTTTCTGGTTAGAAGTGGCAGCAGCTATAACCCCCACTAGAACTCTGGGATCTGCAAGTCAAGGGAGGCTGTGGGGTGGGGGGTAGGGCGGGAGAGGCAAATGAGAGCAGTGGAGAGAGCTCAGCAGAGCTTGCTTAGGGAGGAAGAAGCGGCTGTCACTTCCCGAAAGCTAGGCCTGCCTCTAGGCGGGGAGCAGGTCAGGGCACTGGGTCCTTGCAGCCCGCCTGCCCCGCCCCTCCCTTTCTGCTTGGGGTTTGCCCAGGCTCTCTGGAGCCCAGAATTTACAGTAAATGTTGTCACCAGTGGAAACTCTCAGAGGGGGCGGGGAAAGGGCTAGAGGAAGGGGCAGGACTCACGGCCCCCAGTTCCCGTCTTACAAACACCCCCCAGTCTCATGTGTTGTTTTATCTTATCTTTCGGTAAAGAGGGGATGCCCTCCTTCTGGGATGTGCCCGAAAACAACCACAAATGGTAAGCAGAGGGAGCCAGCCACACCTTGAGGAAGAAGCCAGTACCTCTGACTCTATTACTGCTCTTGGTATCCCACACCCACCCATCTGGCAGATGGGGGTTTCCTTTGAACTGACCGAAGCACATTTTGTAGGCCAGAGCCACATACAGGAAATGCCAGGCTGAAGCCGAGCATGCTCGTGTCTGTCCTTCACAGCCAGGTGGAAGCTGGCGAGGTGGTAAGGCCAGACTCATATGCTACCCAAGCCCCGGATGTGTGGGTTAGGGCGACTGGCAGTGGAACTAGTTCTCTCAGAAGCTTACTCCTGTTGGATTTTTTTAGACAAATTTTAAATGTCAAATGATCTTACATCTGCTGACTGCCCACCATAGTTTTTGAGTTCACTTCTGGTCCAGCAGTTGGATGTCACCAGCCAGCCAATCAACAAACATTTGAGTTCATTTTATGTGCCAGGCAATCGACAAATAGGAAAGTGTTGAATAATTTAAGCAAATTTAATGTCTTATTTAACCTGTGTTTTCAAACTTGCCTGATCATTAGAATAACCTATGGTGCTCAGTAAAAATCTGATCTCCAGAATTCATGCCAAATTCCACACCCACTGAGTTTACATTCCTGGATTTCAGGGAGAGCCTAACACTGTATTTTTGATAATAGAGAGGCTTCCTTGGATTAATTCTATTGATAGAACTAGAAAAATAAAATCTGGACTCCCAATATTAAGTTTGTTTTTTTTTTAAGCAGAAATGTAATTTATTTGTGTCTCCAATGGTGTTTTCCCTCCTTCTGTGTGTGGGTGCCAGTGACTGGCAGAGGCGGCCTGTTTGATCCCCTCAAGGAACACGAACCTGAAAATCACATTGGAACTATGATTCCCTGGCCTTTCTGATGGTGGAACTGTTTTCCCTTAAATGCTAGTCATCAGAGTGTAATTGTCGACTAACTGACTGATCAGTAATCAGTTCTTTTTACCTGATTCAGTTTTCCTGATTAACATCTATCTAAACAATAGGGGAAAGATATTTCTGGAAAAAAGAAAGAGCCCATGTTTGGAACATACCCAAAGTACTGTGAAACAGGGTCACAGGTGTGCAGAATGGAGCAGAATAGAACCCTGGTGGATTTTGACCATTTCATATTTAGAAAGACCCTAAATATTTGCCAAACTGGGAGAAACAGGTGACTCCCCATGGATTCTTACGGCAAAGACAGCACACACATGGGACTCCTTGAAGAACACGTGGTATTATGTAGTGTGGTCTAGGGTGAGATCAGTAAAGATAAATGTTCTCATTTTTCAGGCCCACCTGAAAATGCCACTCTTACTCCCATGCTCGTCCACAGAGACCCATGTGTGGGAGCACACACAGGGTGACCCCCACGTTCACACAGACACCCCTCAGGTGGGACTGTATGAAACTATCTTACAAGTCAAAACAGACGAATAGCAGCAATTGCTTGTGCTTCAACCTGACATTTGGTCATACAAGGACACAGGTCCATGCACCCGTGTGCAGACAAGTGCTCCAGTGTCCTTCTCCATGGCGGGGCTTATGAAAAGCTAATCAGATGCCTCTTGCTGCCCCCTCATCTTGCTGCCTTCCCCAGTATTAATTTCCAATGCCAATCTCTCCCCCATAGGAGAGTGAAGACCTGGAGAAACAGAACGCAGCTCTGCGCAAGGAGATCAAGCAGCTCACAGAGGAGGTGAAGTACTTCTCATCGGTGCTGAGCAGCCATGAGCCCCTGTGCTCGGTGCTGGCCACCAGCACACCCTCGCCCCCCGAAGTGGTGTACAGTGCCCACGCCTTCCACCAGCCTCACGTCAGCTCCCCGCGCTTCCAGCCCTGAGCTTCCAGAGGTGGACAGAACAGAGCCCCTCCTCTCGGCTGCTCCAGGAGGCTTCCATGGGGGCACACAGACTGGGGTCAGCAGCCCTCAGCCCTCAGAGCCCTCTCTCTCTCTCCGGAGCCCAGAGGCAGAGGCCTGGACAGGGTGAGCACAGGACTGCAGCAGTTGGAACTGTGTGTGGCCTTCAGCAGCGTGAACACCCGTCGGAGTGTACCGGACCCCATGTGGGCGGAAACCTGATCTAAGCCTATGGCACATGACGCCCAAGTCCCGTGGCACAGTGGGATGAGGGCAGGGAAGTGTTATTTTTCTAAATAAATGTTTAAAAAGAAACCACTGTGGTCAGGCAGTTTCCTTCTGTTCCACTGTCCCTGGAAACCCAAATTCTGTGGGGCCAGGACCTGATTTGTTCTTGGACCCAGCAGTCCTTCCAACTCTGTAGACTCTGCTTACTATAGTTCTTCTTTTCCATGGACTGTTAATCCATGTGGGAAGCTGAGATTTTTCAAGGCCTTTTCAGTGCTCCCTTGAGCCCCTGACCTCCCACCTTCTATTCCTCACTGCCTTGTGCATTCCAGATTGTCACCTCGTCATCTCTTGTCAGCAGAAAAGACCTGTGCCAGATGCCATACTGGGGCGCAGTCGCTCAGCTTGGTCCTCCCACTGCCCATCCCATAACCACACTGACCCAGCTCCCTTCACATGGCTGGGCCTGGAGGAGGGCAGGTCAGGGCCATGCAAGTCATTCTAGTAAGACTTGGGCTCCCTCCTGTAGAATCCAGTGCCCACCTCGTGCTCTCCTGGGGTAACACGTGGCGTAGGGTCACAGGGGTTTTCCTGCCAATGGATGTTCATGTTCTTCTGTGGAGTCCACTTCCCTTGGACAGCTGTAATACAGCTGTGCTAACTGCCCATCTCTGGGAGGGCCTGCAGGCTGCCCTCCTGAGCAGGGCTTGAGGGTGGCAGTGGTTTGGGTGACCCGAGGTGTGTCTTTAGGCCTACAAGTTCACCCGCTTGGCTGTAACCAGAGCTCTCTGGTCCCCTGCTTGCTGGTGTCCCTGCCCCGAACAGCCCCCGAAGCTGTGAGCCCCCACATCGGTGCACTCCAGTCGTGCCCCTTCCACTGCTGGGGGACTGCAGCACCTGCCTGCACACATGGACCCTGCCGAGTGATGAGAACCATCACAAGAGCGGTGAGGCCTACCATGCCAGGCATCCACTTGAGCACCTCAGCATTCACCCTCAGTGTCAGCACTCGGTCGGGCTGAGGGGCGGCTGGTAGCATCTTGGGGTATGGTGACCACAGGGGAAAGGGATCGCAGGCCTGTTTTTCTGTGTCCAGTTGGTTTGAAGTAAGGTCTCAACCCTGTGTCTCTCCTGCCTCGCCAGGATTATGTCAGGGTTGGGCTAGTGTGAGTACTAAGCCCCACAGAGGCCTGGGGAAGCATGTCCTAGCACGTGGTCACCTGGCCACAAGGTGACCGTCAATGGGAGGAGCTCAGCTCTACGACCTCTGAGGGCACGTTGTGACCACTGGGGCCCTCACCCCAAAATTGATGGATGTGGATGCTGGAGTGTGGGTGCTGGGCTTCAGGCCTGCTTCAGACTGCCCAGAAGACCCCCTTCATGTCAACATTGCTTCCGATACAGAGCCCCGATTTTGAACCTTAGCCCTCCCAATAAACGTCGGTAAATAAGACTTCCTTTTCAGTGCTTGGGCTCTGGAAAAGGGCAAGAGCCACAGCGAGGAAGGACTTGCTTCAGGCTGGGCTTCTGGTGGTTCATGATCTGGGTACCTCTTTCCCACTCCAGTGTTAACTGGCAAAGAAGCCGATGGTCACTTTGGGTGTGGGGGACACTGAATAAGATTTGTTTTTCAGTCATGAAGAAGCAGAGTTTGGCGTCCTTCTTCCTTGACAGCCAGCTCTGCCAGGGTCTGACCTGTCCAGGGGGCTGGAACAGGCTTCCTTCCTATCAGAGATTTCTCTCCCCTCCCCTGCACTGAGCTATGATTTTCCCCTAGAAAGCCCCACACAAGGCACATGACTAGGTCGGGCATCGTCTGAGCGGTTTGCATGGTGAGATTTAGTAAAGCACAACTCACGTGTCCTATTCCCATCTCTCAGCAAGGATTCCTCTTCCCCTTTCATTCTCCACTTTCTAATCACCCCTCCCTTCCCCTCCCCTCCCCCCCTCCCCAAGTTCCACTTCTCCTTTCCAATCACTTCGGTAGAGACATAAGAAGCCTGAGCTGGCGTGAGTGCCAACCTGACCTTATCTTCACACAGGGAAATTGGAGGTGCAACTATGAATAGAGACTTGAACTTGACCCTGGATGTCTCATCTGCCAGGTTGTGTCCCAGCCTCCCACTGGCACAAGTAGTTCTCTTGGGCCCATCCTGGACGGTGGGTCATTGAGCACATTCAACTGTCCTAGGCAGACACTGTGAATACATGAAACTCGCTGGAGGGAGGACAGCTGGGAATGGTGGTGAGTGTGGCAAAGTGCGCTTACCTGTAAAGCTTCCAGCTGCCCCTAGGTTCAGTCCCATGCTGCCATATAGGAACTGCAGTCCGGTGCTGCCGTATCTTCTAGTCAATGCAGACCAAATCAGAATTTCTACATGAGATCTCCAGTGTTTAAAGTACAGCAGACTAAGCAAAGTGTTTGTGAATCAAGTTTGCTTCTAACATTTGTAGGGCCTGGGGCAAGGGTACACACTGGGGCCACATACCATCTGTCTGAATATGTGCACATTACAACTCGGACTGACAAAACACGTTAAGTATATTAAGCCAAATATGTTCTTTTCTCCTACTACGATAAACATAGCTTCACAACAGCCTGGAAGGCAAGGTGTGAATTTAGCATTCTTTGACCTCTCCAAATTTTGCATCAGCACAGTCACCCAGGGAGAAGCAACCTGTGATCTGCAGCTTGTCCTTGTGATGTCTCTTCCTGGTTCTAATGACACCATGCTCACAGCATCGGCACGTCAGCCTGGGAGACAGAGTTCCAGCCATCCCTTGGCCACTTTCCCAGGGTTGCCTAGACCAGTGTTTTGAGTCCTTGAGAATACATGTGGCCTTGGAGGCCACAGCTCATGGAAGCCAGTGCGAGGCCACTCAGGCAAAGGTGTTATGTCCCAGGCAACGAAGGGTCTAGAATGGGGACAGAGGCTCTGGCTAGGTGTGTGTCTTTGGTCCGAAAGTCTCTTTGTCAGGCCAAACCCTGTCACGTGGGGAATCCAGAGCAGGGACTGCTTCTGTCCAGGCTCAGAGGTGGCACTCAGGGCTAGCTCTGCTCTACGACAACGGTGTCTTCCTGGAAAGCCCAGGCTTCAGGACAGGAAAGCTTCACACAACAAGAAATGGGCACTCGATGGCATTATCATTTTCAACCACTTTGAAGCAAGGGTTCTTGGGGAATATTTGCTCCCCCACCTGCTGTCCTCAATTTAACTCTTACCAGCAAAGTCATTCCTGAGCTGGTGTCAAAGCAAATTACGGGAAAGCCAGATTCTTAGTCTCTGGGTTGAGAAGTGTGGGTGGGGAGAGAAAGGGAGGCAAAGTGAACTCAAAGGTCACGGGGTTGCCATCTACTGGACCCAAACTTACCAGCAGTGTTTATTAATACCTCCAGCTAATGCCCCAGCTGTGGCAGTGGCTTTACAGTGAAGCGGCGAGCCGGACAGTATCCCGCTTCTTTTTGGTACAAACAAGCTATTTCTCCACGGTGTCTGGCTTCCTTCTCCCCTGCAAGGTTTCAGAAGCCCCAAGCTGCTCGGGAATCCCAGGGAGGGAAAAAGGCTGCTGAGCTAAGATCAACCCTCAGAATCAGGCAGTAAAGATTTCGTCACCTTTTGTCTCTGCCAGAGGAAACTGGCATTTTAAATGGCACCAAGAAGAGTGATTTTTGGCTCAAAGGGGTGGAAGCCTACTGGTGGCGTCTTAGACTCTGCGGCAAGTGTGTAGAGAAGAACTTCAATGGAATTCTTGCCACATGATGTCTGGTTACTGCGATGACCTTGGTTTGGACCTTGGTGGTTTGGGTGATTTGAGTTAACCTATTTGCAGGAAAACAGAATAAAAATTTATCTTGGTTTGAACACTCTACCAGCAGGCAGAGATAAGGAGTCCTCCCTTAGAGAAGTACACTTGGGGACTTTGTGTAAGTGCCAGTGCTGCCAGGGAGGCAAAGTCTGGCTCCTTCTGAGAGATTTTGAGATTCTAGCGTGATTGAGAGATTCTGTACAGAGACTGCTTAACTTTTCACTGTACCCAGGTCGAGAGAAGTGGCAAAGACTGACATGCCCTCTGACAGCAATTCTCCCCCTTTTTCTTACCTGCATGGCACTCATTTTTTCTAGAATGGCAATGTCTCCAGGTAAAGAGAATGACATTTCCCAGGTTCCCTTGCAGCTAGAAAATGGCTTTGTGACATATTCTGGTCAATAAGATATGAGCAAAAATTCCTGGGTAGGGTTTATGGACAAATTTTTTTAAAGGTAGGTCCACAGCTGCCATAGTTCCTTTTCCTTCTTTCTGTGTGGAAGCCATATGCAGTACAGGAGGCAACCATTTTAGGGTGACGAAACAACATTTTTTGTGTGCAAAGAAGGAAATGATATTCTAGATCCAGAATGTGATGATGTTACAGCTTTTGGATTTGGCCTACTTCTGGATTTCTTTTAAGTGAAAATAAAAGAGAATTTATTTGGTTAACCACTATTAGTCACACTATTAAGTTCAGGTTACCTGATACTGCCTAATACAGGAGCCAAGAGAACAACCAAACAAGGAATTTAAACCATTCCCCTAACTTAATGGTGCTCAACTGGGAGTGATTTTGATTCTCAAGGGGCATTGGGCCTGTCTGGAGATATTGTTGGTTGTTACAACATGGAAGGCAGGTGCCACTGACATCTATGAGGTAGATGCCAGAGATGTTGATAAACATCCATAATGTACAGGGTGAGTCCCACAATAAATAGCTATAAATAACTATTAAACCCACAGGTTAAGAAAACCTGCAGTTTTCCCTAGTGTTTCCAGAACTAATCTTTAGCCCACTAACATATCCTGACACACTTTTCTATCTCTCCTCTACTAGAGATAAATCCTGTGACTAGTCAAGCAGAAATTCATGTCCTTCACCATATCTTGCTCTTTGTTTTCACTACGCCTTTGCTCATGTTCTGTTTACTCTGCCTAGAACCCCTTAGCATCTCCCAGGGTCTCTTTAGGTGATCCCCAGGAA